ATTTTTTTTATATATTAAATAAGTGACTTTTTTTTTTGTATATCAAATAAGTGACTTTTTTTTGTATATCAAATTAGTAACTTTTTTTTATATATTAAATGAATAATTTTTTTATATATCAAATAAGTAATTCTTTTTTATATATTAAATAACTGGCTTTTTTTTCTGTATATCAAATAACTGACTTTTTTTGTATATCAAATGATTCACTTTTTTTTTATATATTAAATAATTGACTTTTTTTTCTATATCTCAAATGATTTACTCTTTTTTTTGCGTATCAAATGACTAACTCTTTTTTATATGTCAAATAATTAAATCTTTTTTGTATATTAAATAATTGACTTATTTTTATATATTTAATGACTAATTCTTTTTTTGTATATTAAATGACTAACTCTTTTTTCTACATATCAAATAACTAACTCTTTTTTTTATATATTTAATAACTAACTTTTTTTCATATATTAAATAACTAAATTTTTATTCTATGTATCAAATGATTGACCCTTTTTTTTTATATATTAAATGACTGACCTTTTTTTTATATATTAAATAACTAACTTTTTTTTCATATATTAAATAACTGATCCTTTTTTCCTAGCTTAAATAATACTCTTTTTTCTTATATATTAAATGACTAATTCTTTTTTTACACATTAAATAACTGACTCTTTTTCACATGTCAAATAACTGACACCTTTCTTTATATATCAAATGACTAACTCTTTTTTCACATGTGTCAAATAACTAACTCTTTTTTCTCACATGTCAAATGACTGTATATCAAATGATTGACTCTTTTTTGTACATCAAATAACTGACTCTTTTTCTTGTGCATTAAAAGATTGAATTTTTTTTGAACATCAAATGACAGATACTTTTTTTACATATCAAATAATTGACTCTTTTTTTTTGTATATTAAATGACTGACATTTTTTTCATATATCAAATGATTGACTCTTTTTTGATATCAAATGACTGACTCTTTTCTGCACGTCAAATAACTGATTTTTTTTCTCATGTATCAAATGACTGACTCTTTTCCTGCATATCAAATGACTAATTCTTTTTTCATATATCAAATGACAGACTCATTTTCTTATATGTCGAATAACAAACTCTTTTTTCTGTATATCAAATTATTGACTCTTTTTCTACATATCAAATAATTGACTTTTTTTCTGTATATCAAATAACTAATTCTTTTTTGTGTGTTAAATAACTAACTCTTTTTTTTGCATGTCAAATAACTTACTTTTTATCTTGTATGTCAAATAACTAACTTTTTATCCTATATATCAAATAACTAACTCTTTTTTCTATATGTCAAATAATTGACTCTTTTTCTTACATTTCAAATAACTAACTTTTTTTCCTTTATGTCAAATAACTAACTTTTTTTCCTGTACATTAAATGACTGATTTTTTTTCTACATATCAAATGACTAACTTTTTTTTCACATATGTCAAATGACTGACTCTTTTTTCTTGCATATCAAATAACTGACTCTTTATCTAATAACTGACTCTTTATCCCATATATCAAATAACTGATTCTTTTTTCTATATGTTAAATGATTAACTCTTTTTCTCGTATGTCAAATGTAAATAACTAATTCTTTTTCTCATATGTTAAATGACTGATTCTTTTTTTTGCATGTCAAATGACTGATTTTTTTTCTATGCGTCAAATAACTAACTCTTTTTTCTGTACGTCAAATAACTGACTCTTTTTTCTATATTAAATGACTAACTTTTTTTATATATATCAAATGACTGACTTTTTTTTCTTGCGTATCAAATATTGACTTTTTTTTCTTGCATATCAAATAATTGTCTCTTTTTCTCATGTGTCAAATAACTATTTTTTCTCATGTATTAAATGACTGTCTCTCTTTTCTACTTTTTTTTTTTTTTTTTTTTTTTCTCTTCTTTTCTCTTCTCTTCTCTTCTTTCACTCTTTTTACTCTTTTTTTTCTCTCCCTTTCACCCTCTTCTTCTTTTCCTCTTTTTTTTCATTTTCCTCTCTCTTTTTCTTCCTTTCCTTTTCTCTCTCTCTTTCTCTTCTTCTTTTTTTCTCTCTTTCTCTTTTCTCTTTTCTCTTCTTTTTTTTTTCTTCTTTTCTTTTTCTCTCTTTTCTTTTTTCCTCTTTCTCTCTTCTCTCTTTTCTTTTCTTTCCTTTCTCTTCTCTTTTTCTCTTTTTTTTCTCTCTTCTTTCTTCCCTCTTCTTTTTCTCTTTTTTCTCTTCTTTTTTCTCTTTTTCCTCTTCCCTTTTCTCTCTTCTTTCTTCTCTCTTTTTTCTTTTTTCTTCTTTCTTTTGTCTTTCCTTTTCACTCCTTTCTCTTACCTCTTCTTTCTTCTCACTTCTTTCTTCCCTCTTTTTTTCTTCCCTCCTCTTTTTTCCCTCCTTCCTCTTCTCTTTTTTCTCTTTCCTCTTCTTTCTTTTTTCTTCTCTCTCTCTTTTCCTCTCTTTTTTAGAACTTTTATAGTATCAAGGATAGGTAGGTAGGGGCAGGTAGACAAGTCAATAACAATTATTGACAATTATTAAGGGTGAGTGAGTAGATTAACTGTTTTTGACAAATTTAATAAGGGTGAAGTGAGTTAATTTATTTGTTTACTATTATTTAACTCAGGTTCTTTGCAGAATCTCTGTTAAAAAAATTTAACATTTTAGTATAAGTATGACTAACATTCATGTTTTAATAGAGGAGAGATTTACAAAAACCTTCTAAAAACAACAAAATTTACAAATTTAAAGTTTTCTTAAAATTATACTAAGTCAACTACTTTCACTCCTTAATAAAAACTTATTTAGCTTCTCTATACAAACATTTTGATATATAAAATATTACAAATGAACTTAAACTCATCAAACTATAATAAAAACTTTTTTACCTCTTCTCTTGCCGTTTACTCTAAATTGTGCTAAGTAAATCTTAGTTCTCACTTAAAACAAACTTGTTCTATTCATCAAGACAAACATTTTGATATATAATATACTATAAACAGACCAAAATTGACAATTTTATATCAAGAAAACTTCAAACTTTCTCACCAGAAAACCAACTTTTAATTTTAAAAATTCACTGCCAATTTTCTGAAATTCTATTGGCTTGCCCCAGAAATATCACTTTTTGTGCACCCATTAAAATTTCCCAAGACCTAACAAATTTCAAATTTTCACTCACTTAACATGGAAAACTTACTAGATATTTCTGAAAAACTTATTGGTCTTTCTAAAATCTTACTAAACTTTTTCTTCTATATCTATCATTTATCCAACAAACATTATCTATATCTCAAGATTTTACTAAGTAAATCTCATCTAACCACTTAATAGCGATTGTTTCTGAGATCAAAATATATATATTATTAAAATCTTAGACTTGTATCTCTTAAACTCATTGAGATAATCAACAAAAAGTTTTATATAATTTAAACTAATTCTTAATTTTTGTCTATAATTCTCTAAAAAAAACCAGCTATATCTCAAGATTTTACTAAGAAAACCTTACCTGACCACTTAATAACGATTATTTCTGAGACTAAAATATATATAAAAATTTTGCTAAAGATCACTGTTCTATTATATATTTATTTAAGAAACCAAAATTTAGAGTTAGGGTTGGGCAGAGTTAGAATAAAGGTGAAATTATATATAAAATTTTGTGTTGAAAACTTTTAATTAGTGCACAAAGGTTTATTGCCATAGTAAAATAACTTGTTATCGATATTTTTTGGTTTTTTTTCTTAGTTTCTCTATTGTTTTGGTTATACAAGATCCTATGATTTGATTGGTCAAATATATGAGTAGTGATAATCACCTGCGGTGATGTTTAGCAATACTCTATATATAATACTAAAATCTTAGAACTGTATCTTTCAATCCTATAAAGATATTCAATAAAGAATCTTATACGATCTAAATTATTTCTCAAAATTCATCTATATTTGCTCAACGAAAATTGACTATATCTTAAAATTATTCTAAACAAACCTTATCTGACCTCTTACTAGAATTTGTTCCTGAGGCCAAAATATATATTATACTAAAATTTGGGTCATATCTTTTAAACTTATTGAGAAAATCAACAAACATCTTATATCAAAGAAAAAAAATTATACTATATACTACCATATATTTCCAAAAATAAGCTACCTTTTTTTGGGCAATTTTGAGTAAAAAAAATCAAACGTAGCTTATTTTTGGGGTTATAACTTTTTAAAAATTTGGCACTTAATAAAAGGTAGCTTATTTTCAGTTATAAAACTAAAATTTTATTTTTTTTTTAAATAAACTCAAATTAGTTTACTTTGGTTTATAAACTTAAAGCAAACCCAATTTGATTTTTTTATTTTGATATTCTGATATTTACAGCATTTTTTTTTTATTTTTTTATTATTATTTTTTATTTATTTACTGTTACATTTTTTTTTTGTATAATACTGTTTGCTATTTATGTTTATGCTATTTAATAGGATTGATATGTATAATTTTCTTCTAATTCGTAAAAGAATTTGACATTTTTATAATTACTTAGACCATTCTCAAGTACCTCTTTCAATATAATTAACTAGTGATCAAGGTGATGTTCAAATGCTGTGATCAATGTTTGAGCTAACTTTTTCAATTGATTTCTATTATAACTTCAAGAAAAAACAGGCGATTACCCAGTTATTAAAAATTAGCATCCAAGACTTTGATACTTGAAGCTTTGCTTCTAGTATTTGCCTTCTTAACAATTTTACAAATAATTTATCATTGCAACAATAGCTATAGTTGGCTATATAGTTATAACAGCAACAACCATATTCACCAATGCAACTTTATATAGATTCTTTAACATTAAATGAAGTGATATTAGAATATAATAAAACATGAATATTATTTCAATAAAATATATATACAACATATGAAAAATTAATTTTTTATTCTTTGAATATTAACTTTGAATATTTTTATATTTGTTATAAGAGTTTTTAATATAAAGAGTAGGATAATAATTTTTTGGTAGTGATGATGATTTTGTTAAGAACTCATGTTACAAAAAAAATAATAAAAGAGTATTTGAGCTTAAGCAATCTTTTTGATTACTCTATCAATGATGAAGTTTAACTAATAAGCACAACTCTATGAAAAAAATTGGTGGTCACAGCTCCAGGTTTTTTTGACCCAAGTGATTATTATAATCAATTTTTTTGACTAATCAAACTGTTTGATAAACTCATTGAAGTAGATACTTGAAAATAGCCTTAGAAACTTTGATGTTTCAATACTAATATGATTTATTTTAGATATGATTCAGATGCTGATACAGTTCAAGAGCATGTAAGCTGTTATCAAGATATTCGTGTATATACTATTTTAAATTAATGCAAAAAATGTGTTTTATAATTTTTGAATATTTTGGTATTAATTGTATTTTTGTTTTTTGTCTCTTTGAAATGATGCACTTTTTTTTTCTAGATTTTTTGCTGATTTAATTAATTGATAATTGATGATTATCAAAGAACATAGCGAAAAGCAAAAAAACTAAAATGAAAGAATTATGAACTCAATCCTCTCAGCTTCCTAACCAACAAAAATTATATGATTTATCATTCTATCACCATAGCAGAGATCAATTTTATGCTTCATCACAATCTGAAAATGTGCACTATATTTATTTACTAATAGTAATAGCAATTTAGATTTAGATCAGACTATATAAATATATATCTATTATGTAGTTGCTATGTATAATATAACAATTTTACTTGGCAGGTGATAAGATTATACTGTACTATAATCTTATGGCTGTACAGATTACAGTATGATCATTTCACATGACAAATAAAAAATTTAAATTTAATGCACCAGATTTGAATTTAATGCATCAACTTTGGCCTCTTTGGGCTAAATTAGTGCATTATATTTGAGACAGAATATTTAATTATGGGAAGAAAATGCTTTAAATCTAATGCAATTAGCTTTGGCCCAGGAGGGCCCAAATTGGTGCATTAAATTCAAGATGGAACTTACTGCTACTATTATAATTCCTGAACACTGTGATTTTAGCATAATAGATTCTATAAACTGATATGTATATGTATATATATATGTATATAATTAAGATTAGGTAACTAATATAAATATTATACTATTACGTATCATTCTGATCAAATACAGAAACATAATGCTTTTAAAGTATCTTTGTTAACAAATTAAATAAATTCTTGAATGAACAATTTGAATAAATAATTTGAATAAATAGTTTGAATAAATAATTTGAATGATAAAATAATTCTAATAAATAATTTGTATAAATAATTTAAATAAATAATTTGAATAAATATTTTTTCAAAAATCTTGCTATGTAAACTATGTAATTCTGCTACCTTATGTTAAACTCAGATTGAATTTAAGAAGTGATTATGTATGTGATTTTGGTAACAATACTTGGTAGGTTCATTGATCATACTTATATTCTATAAAATAGTATCTGTGCTCCACTTCAACTTGTTAACTTGACCAAAAAAATTATTAATTAATACAAAATCACAACATATACTTTTAAACAATTCTAGTACACAACAATATTTGGTTGAATATATATCACACTTTAACTAATATGATTCAAAACTACAAGTAGGTGATGAAATATAACATTGCTAGTTAAATAAAAAAATAAAATAAAACCAAGTTAAAAAGAAAAAGAAAATTAATTTATTTTTAATTATTGCTACGTTTATTTTTTTTTATTTAATTATTTACAATTTTTTTAAATTATATATTTTTTTATCTTTTTATTTTTTCTTTATTTTAATAGTTCGCTTTCTTTCCTTATTTATTTATTGCTTTTTTTTTGTTTGTTTTTTTTTTGTATTCTTACTGGTAGGTAAGTACTAGTAGTTGGGCAATAATAAATAGATAGGTGGGCAAATGGATATTAGATGTGAATAGTTGTTTTAGGGGTAAATTCTATGGGTGATTTCACTTATCAAATCCTTGTTTGCTTCTAGTAATAATAATAATATCCTCAACTTTTAGATATACGCATATATATATGCAATAGTAGGAATAAAAAATAAATTCTAGTTATTTTTTACTATAGGAATAATTAAAAATTTACTTTTTATTCCCACTATTGCATATATGTGATCTATTGTTTGTTTTTCTATATACATAATTTAAATTTTAAAAAAGAGTAGCTTATTTTCAGAATTAAAAATATTATTATTGTTTTTATTCGAAAAAAGTAAGGTAGCTTATTTTTGGTTAAAACAGGTTTTTTGGTCAAAACAAAGAGGGTAGCTTATTTTCAGAGTAGCTTATTTTTGGGAATATACAGTACTTACTATTACTTTACAATATGTCACAACCAACATCTCAATGCCAATTTCCCTACCACTAGCTTATCAACTATGAGTTCTCTGGCAGTAACTTTTCTAACATGAATCTGGACCAACCTTTTAATTGGTTCAAACACTTTCTAGTTCTAACAACAAGTAGTTTTTTTCTATTTACTCAACCAACAATTCAAATAATTAATTTTTAAAGCTTTTCCTTAAAGATTTTTATTCAGATTCAATTATTCAGCTAGAAACAGACAACAAACCAGCTCTTAAAAATAACTTTAACCTTCTACTTTATATAATGGCTCTTCAAAAATCTAAATTTATTATAGACTTTATTTGAAACCAAAATCTTCAAATTACTGAACCTATAGATATTTCTCTTGAAATTATTTTTGAAACTCTTAAAAGATCTCTTGTAGCAATTACTACTGTTCTTTTTAAATACTTCAACTATCCAAAAATATTTAACTCTTATCTTTTTATTCCTTCTTATTCTATTAAAAAATGATTTCAAATCATTATTAACTTGGCCAAATTCTATCTTTTTTTTACTAATAAATATCAAACTATCAACCACCAAAAATTTTTTCAAAATTTAAAACTTAAACCAATTTATTTATAAACTTTCTTTCACATTAACCAAATCCAAGTTATAGGTTTAAATACACCTATATTACAAATTCACAATACTTCTAAATTTTATATTAATATCTCTATTAACATATCTGTACAAAAATTTTTAACAACTTACCACATTTCTTCTTTTTTTCTATTCTTAACTAAATTTAATAAGTGGCTTCAAAAATTTTTTGAATATTACAAAAAACAATTTAACACTATTAATGAACAAAAAGTTTACAATTATATCAAATCCCAAATAGTAACAGCAATAAACAACGAATACAGAAAACTCATTCCTAAAGAAATACATCCTTTCACTATTTCAACTATTCAAGATCATACAAATACAGCTATCAAAACTATATTACACTATATATATACATGTATAGACCCTACCAAATGCACAATTTTTTTACCAAATATTACACACAACCTTCGAAATCTAACTACTCACTTTTTTAAACTTTCTTTTCAAACCTCATCTGCCTTTAAATATATTTATCCAACTATTGATAACTCTATCTTTTTATCTAGCCAACCTTATACCACTATATTTTTTACTGCTTTTTCTTTTAAAGATCTCTATAAACTTGCCAACCAAGCAGAACAAAAATTCATTAAACTTAACCAAAAACTTATTAAATCTAATAAGTTAAAACTTTCTAAACCAAATTCTAAAACTCAAAGCTCTAAATAGATTTCTTTCTTTTTCTATAGTTATTTTAAAGCATACTTAAAAT